TTTTATCTGATGTTTCTGAGGAACCCGCCACACCGGCTGAAGGGGCCGTGACAACAGCACCATGAAACTCTTTTTAAAGCCAGACACCTAACAAGAGCAGTGCTTCCTACTAAGTAAATACGTTGAACCAAATCCCGAGAAGCAGCCCGGTTTGTCTGGATCACGCCGTCCTCTGATCCTTGCCCCATCCCGGCCCGCAGAGCAACCTTTGGACAGCACGATATTGCATCGGACCCTGGCATCACCACCCCGCCGGGCCTGCATAAGCTGGACTGCAGCTCCTGGCAGGCTCTTCCCCTGCGTCACCGCACCTGGGTGAGCAAAGGGAGCACGCCAGGCTGCGAGGCTGTGGGACACCTCCTTGCGTACTGGCAAACTCTCCGCCGGCTGTTCCTGCTGTGCTGAGTGATTGCCATGCGGTGAAAATGAGCCTGACCGCACACAGAGCTGTAAACTCATCAGCCGTTTCCTTCCCCCCCCCGCCCCCATTTTTTTTTTTTAAACCGAGTAATTGTGTTGAGGTCAGGGAGATAATCCTGATTTACACCAGGGTTAATGTTTACGCAGGCACCGCTGACAAAAGAAGCTTGCAGCCCTTCATCTCCAATTTTGGTAAATCGGAGTTAATTGTTCAGCAGGACGGTGGGGGTGACACGCTGGTCACACCTTCTGTTTTGCCCCGTGTCTACAGAGTGAGACCTGAGCTAAGCAGACAGTATCGGGGCAGGTATTTGTTTTGCCTTAGTACCAGGAGCTCTGAATCAGCCTCTGGGACGAGAGCACATGCTACCAAACGTCCAGACATGTCCACCGACTTCAGATCCACCGTTTCTTGGCTGCTTCGGGTGAGGGCAGCGAGGGCCTGGCTCTCTGGGGGGCTCAGCACCCCCTGACTTGGGGGGGGGCTGCCGAGGTTCCGCACGCAGGCTGGCGGGCCCCTTGGGAGGTCACTTCTCCACCCCCTGCTCAAAGCCAGGTCAGTGCTGGGTGCAGATAAGGTTGTCCAGCATGTTCCTGTTAGCAGGCGGTTTTCCCAGCAATGGCTAGGGCAGGGGATGGGCAGCAGGCAGCTCAGGCGAGCTATGCCCCCCTTGTCTGTGACAAGGCAGGATGGGTGCTGCGACTACAGCTGCTCACCTGGTCCAGGGGCCAGCAACGGCACAGGGAGTCCCAGCAAAATGCACACACAGAGCCTGAGAACCTGGTTTGACACCAGTATCTGCTCAGCCTTACCTTCTCCCTGCCACCCACGGGACCCCTCTGGGCACTCTGAGAAAAGGCTGCAACTGAGCGAGCAGCAAAGTCACCTTGACCTTAACAGGGGACATTGGCAAGGGCGGCCTTGGACACTGCATTTGTCTTTCCCTCTTTCACCGCTGTCAGGAGCTGCGGGACGCGGATCACGGTCCCTGCTGGCAGAGCTAGAGTAGCGGATAGCTCTGACAGTGTCTCCTCAGCTGGGTGGGGACCCAGAACTGAGGTTGGGGAGGGAAAGCCCACCTGAGTGCTGAGCCTGTTCAGGGACAGCCGAGGGCAGTGCAGGTGGGGAGCGCAGCCTCAGGTCTGAAGTGATTCCTGCTGCCACGGTGCTCATTGTAGGGAGGGATGCAACACAGGAACAGGCTCTGCTGGTGTTCTCCATCCTTGCAAGGATGTACCCTGGGAGCCACAAAGGGTTTGTCGGATGAGACATAGGCTCAGTTCATTTCTTTGTGATTCTATTTTGTTGGTGCCCAGGCAGCGATGCCCCGTGGCACAGCTCTTCCCCAGGAAGCTGCAAGGTGATGCATCCCCGTGGCGGAGTGTCTTTTCTGTTTCCAAAATCTGGTACTGGCTGCAAACTCACTGGTGCCTTTGGGCAACAGGTCTGGCTGCCAAGGAATGCTGAGCAGCTAATGAAACACACAGAGTAAATATGTGGTGCTGACAGATACAACTGACTTCTCACATTCCTACGATATTGTTTTAAAGTACACTAAAACCCCCTCCTGGTGCAGCAGGATCATTACCACTGTTTTTCCCGGTGTTGGATCACATCTCAAAAGAAAATGGGTATGTATGGGGAGGAGGACTCAGAAGCTGCTGTTCTACGTTTTTATGTTTTGGACTTTTTTTTGTCAGTGATAGTTTCTTGAGTTATCACCTTTCCCCAACACCCCTGCGTGCTCCTTTTGGCCTCACGCAGAAGCATGGTGTGTCCTGTCCCCACGAAGTCAGCAACAAACCTGTTGAAGTAGCTATGCAGATCCGGTAAAAAAAAAAAAAACATAGGGAAAAAGGCAATGTTTCACCTGGATCAGGCTGTGGATCCAGGGTGTGCAGGCCCCTCCCAGAGAGCTGTGCTGCTCCCGTGGGCGAAGGGGAAAGGGGAGAGCGAAGCCAGGGATCCCTAAAACCAGCGTTGCTGCCGAAGCTGATGCGTGGCGGAGCTTTCGCCTGCGCAGGGGACCGAGAGACGGCGATGAACGAGCCCTGCTGCAGAGCCCCTCTGCCTTCTGGGCCTGTGAGCACCAGAGATAAACCGGTGCCTGCGTTGCCGGCGGTTGGGCGCACGTTTCGGCGGCACGGCGGCAAGGCCGGAGCGGGCAGGAGCGGGCAGGCGGGAGGCGGTCTGGGTGTCTGAGGGAGAAGGTGCGGCAGAGCACCGGTTATGCGTCCCCCGCTCCCTGCCCGGTGCCGAAGGAGTGGCTGGGCCGGGCCCCGCGAGGCTGCCGGCGCTGCGGCC